GGGCAGGTTGGATGGGGCTTGGAGCAGCCTGGGCTGGTGGGAGGTGTCCCTGCCCATGCAGGGGGGTGGGACTGGATGATCTTTAAGGTCCCTCCAACCCAACCCACTCCATGATCCCACCCAACCCTGCAGCAGGACTGAAGCTCCCAAGCAGGACCAGGGTCCCTGCAGCCTCTTCCCCTCCTGCAGAATTTTCCTTTGCCATCAAGACAAACTTCCCCTGGCAATAGAAAAATAAAAAACCCCAGAATCGTCCCTCCTGCAAAGAAAAACCTCCAGTTTGGGGACAGGGCCACGTCTTCTTCCCTTGGTGACAAAACTTGAGCTGCAAGAAATTTTTCCTCCCAGAAAAATCTCTTTCCATGAAGTCGGGAAGTGCAGGTTTTCTATGGAAAACCTTTGCAATCCAGGCAACATTTATCCTTTTTTGGGGAGGGGAAACAACACCCCACTTGGCAATAAAGGGAATATGTGCATTTATTTATTTGGGATAAAAATTGTAATAAAGCCAAATTTGTGCATTTGTTTCTCGGAGGAAAAAAATTGCAATAAAGGCAATTTGTGCCATTTATTTCTTGAGGCGAAAAATGCAATAAAGGGAATTTTTGCCATTTATTTCTTGGAGAAAAACCAACAAACTCGGCCCTTCACACTTGCAAAAATCCCCAGCCCTGTTTGCAAGGAAAACCTCTTTTTTTTCCCAAAAAAAAAAAAAAATAAAATAAAAAAATAAATCCCCCCCCCCCAGCACAAAAAGGAGCGAGTTGCATCTTTTGCAGCCTTTTCTTTCCTCTCAAAGAGTCTTCCTGTCCTAAAGATGGAGCTGTGTGTGCCGGGCTGGACTTTGCAGCCTCTTCCTTTCCAAAAGCAAGATGATTTTTTTTTTTCTTTTCCACCCCCCCCTTCCCTTTCCTGCCCATACATGTGTTTCTGTTTTGTATCGTAGCATTTGTTCTGGAGGCTCATATTTACATTTTAAGTGCATCTGGTGGGTGGGCTCTTAGGGAGGAAAAAGGGGTTGGGGGGGAAGAGGAAGAAAAAGGGGGGGGTAAAAGTG